TTCTAATTCAGAAACTATGAATTGCATTTTGTAAAGATTCAGCCTACCTCGTCTAAAACTCGCATGCAAATTTATTTTAACTTGCTTTGATGGGACCCCGACGGGTCTTTAATAAAAATCATCTATCTATCTATCTATCTATCTTGATGAGAAGGAAACGTTTTTTGCACTTTTTATGCATCTAACAAATACGAAGAACGGATTACAAAACATGCTCAGTGCTTGGTGCATTTTGTCGTCAAAATAACTACGAGCTCTTACTGCTACATGGAAGACGTGCCTTACGCACGATGGTGTCGCCACGTAAACATCAAATTAGACGGAGTCCCAACTATACAGTCGGGTAGCCGATTGATGTTTTGATGGCCTTCCGCGTGACAACTTTGTACATTTGTTAGGATTGTGTTAATCAGTTGACTTACGGGAAATGTTACTTCCGTTGTGTACCGATTATCCGTCTAGAATCCACAAAGGTAGTTTCGTGGCGATCGAAGGAGACTGACCATGCTCTAGAGATGTTATAATAAGCCCATTCTCTTGTATTCAATAAATATATAATGAACGGCGTACTGGCAAAGACAAGGGAGACTGGGGTGACCACTTTTGGTTTGATGGCCGTCATCAGCCAGCCCTATCAAACCTCAGGCTGGGGCAGCTGGGACTTGTAGCGGACAACCATAATGGCAACGTCGCGCCTCTGGCTAGCGCCAACTCCTACGCCCAAGCGACGGGCTGCTATGGCATGCATGTCTGCCCGGCTTCGATTCGTCTCGTTGCAATTCACTGTCTGCACCACACATCTGGTCTATTCGCTTCCTGCACCATGCGAGACTTGTCACTACCCTCGCATGGGATGGGAGCCAATCAACGCACCTCCTCTCGCTGATTGACTACACAGTTCAGACCACTAGCGTAAACAATCTGCCTCGGCACGTTTGCAGCGGCGACCTTCGGCTAAACACGGCTCGTCGCTCCCGCGGACGCCGCCTCCGCTGCGCCGGGCGCACCCTAGTCCGGTTGCCAACTTTCCCCTATCCTTCTGTACAGAATAAAATAGCCTACCCAACTGGCGTCCCGCTTCGAACAACTTGGGATATGGCCTGAAGTTTCGGCGCAATGAGCATACACCATCACCGCTTAGCCGTTACAGATTCGAACACAGGACCTCTGATCATTGGGTCGAACACTCTACCATTGAGCTCGAATCTATACCCTTCCCAACAGTTAATGCATTAAAAATAAGTCAGGTTCCATTACCTGCTATAGTAACTAAACCTGCCAAATCATCGAACACTAACGTTGGGAAAGCCAGGGTGACCCTCAGAAGATCTGTTAGAAACTACAAGGACTCGCCATTATTCTTGGAAGACAATGCTGTTACTCCACTTCTTCACAAGGCTAACTCATCTGGAAAGTGTCCTACCCAATCCGTTTATGGAAAAGGACACGATAAGCCTTCGTGCAGTACATTGCAACTGGGTAATGATTGTAAGAGCTCCACTGCCGGAGCAAGTACGTCACATGAAAATCCATGCCCTATACCCCCTTCGCCGACCGAAAATCATTCAAATGCCGAAGTGACAACAGCCGTCGGGAATACTACAGTAGCATTATATCGTCCTAGCGCGGACGGGACAGTAATGAGCTCTTCCAGAAATCGTAAGCAAAATATTGTCATAAGGGGCGCCCCAGAGTCCACGTCCTGCATTCCGAAGGAACGAGTGACGCACGACCTAGACCTTCTTCATCAGTACGCCCGTGCCGTCCTGCAGGATGGGGAAATATTCACCGTTAAAAAAGCTTTCCGACCAGGCAGAGCGGACCCAAATCGTGACCTAAAAACATCCCCAAGACCCCTGAAAGTTATTTTGGAAAACGAAGCCCAAGCAGCGCTTTTATTAGAAAGTAGAACGACCTTACGCAATTCGCACAAGGAAGTGTTTTTTCAACCAGACTACGAACCGAGGGAAAGACTGAAAATGAGAGAACTGAGATCAGAATTGAAGGAGAGAATTGGCAGAGGAGAGAATGGGCTGAAGATCAAAAATGGACAAATAGTCCAGACAAAGGGGTCTTTCTTGTGGTCAGAACCCGTCACAATGAAGGCCGGGCCTCTCCAACGAATCAATCATTGAAGGTTATATCTGCAAATGTGCAAAGCCTCTTCAACAAACTAGACGAACTACGAGACTTAGTTGATGAAATTAAGCCAGACATTATGGCATTCACAGAAACGTGGCTTACTGAAGATATCGCAGATTCAAAAATATCACTTAGAGGATATCAGCAATTCAGGAGAGATAGACTAAGCCGAGGAGGAGGAGTCATAATTTATGTCACTTGCAAGCTAAGCGCTATGG